TTTCTGTAAGAGCAAAAAGCTCTCAAAGACAAAAGAAAATCTTGTTTAGTACATGCCGCTACCTTCCGAAAAGCAATTACCCAGATTGCAAATTTTAGCGATAAAAATAGAGCACTCACGCAAACAATGCATATTGCAGCGTCCATGGCAACTAATGACTATCACATTCTCTTAGCTTCTCTACCTGATATCAACTACCCGAAAGCAGAATGCGAGAAGTCTCCGTTGATATTCAATAAAAGGAAATAACAATTGCTTAGCTGTTAGATAATGAATCGACCATACAGGATCAAAAAGCATCTTATGAGCTAGCTTTTCTGCAACAGATTTTGCGTTGGTTCAGAAAATGCGCGACATGCAATGAGGATTCGTTAGCGCGCGAAACAATTTCAACATAGAGTAAGAGAACTAACGTTTTTCAACTACTTCCTTTTATGATCTGATGGTGAATGCTTTTATGTTTTTTACCAACGTAGTACCTCCCCCCTTCCCCCCTCCCCCCTTTCTCACCCCTATCTGCTCTGAACCATGATTGTGCGTCTTAGTCGAAGCCTCGTATTCAGTGTCACTGATAAAACACGCAGGCGTAATTTTCCTCACTTATGCTGATGCCTGTGTTTCTTTTGCAGTTTCATCGCGAGAGTACTTCTACTTTTCGCTGCTTTGGAAGTACGATGCAGTTCCTATGTTATGCAATCAAGCCCTCAGCAGGATCTTGCGGACACACTTCTTCTACCAAACTGCAATTGCCTTGCCGTGAGGCAGAATTGTATCAGGGGCTCTCTATTTCGCACCTTTGACGGTACATGCAACAATCTCTGCAATATAACTAACGGAGCGGCCGGATCGTCATTTTTGCGTCTCGATCGCCTCGATCCACCCAATACGTTTCAACAACCAGGCAACCTACCTCGAGTTAAATCAGTTACTGGCGGTTTTCTCAGAAACGCAAGAAACATCAGCAGAATAGTCTTCAAAAACACCGACGCCAACGTAAACAACACCGCTCCAAACTTTACCCACGTGACAATGACGTGGGGACAATTTTTGGATCATGACCTAACTCTAACTCGGTTAGTTCCTGGTATTGAGTGTGGAGTGAATAATGCACCATGTGAAGATAAAAAGGGATGTACCAACATCGACATCCTAGAAGGTGATGAGCTTCTTAATAATAAAAGTGCAAGATGTATTCCACTTAGGAGAGCAAAACAGAATAACCAGGGCGAGCAGGTAAGTTTTGAAACGACAAATTGCTATGTGTGTATGTATACACACATAGCATGTATGTATACATGCTATGTGTGTATGCACAGTATGTATACGATCAAGTAAAAATCTAGGAATAATCTCAAGTAGTAATATAAATCCCCCACGGGATACCTTATTCGACCGATGAAATGACATAACAATTTCTATCTCATCTGAAATTTCCACTTGAATGCTGAAGGAAATGTCGCGTACCAGGAGTAGTTCTGCAAGAATTTCGGGGATCATACTTCGACAAGCTATAGCGACTGGTTGATTGTTTGCTTGATTTGGAGGGCGCACTCTGGTTTACTTTTTCCACACAGGGGCTGCCGTTTTCATGATGAGATGTCCACAAAAAAGATTGATTGAGGTCGAAATAATTTTTTTGTCGATCTGAGTTTTTCCAGACTCGATAAATATTCGTTTGCTTGCAGAGCAGACCCATGAATTTCCTCAGATTCCCTGTCGATATATACCTTTTAATTTGAACAGAAAGCTAATTTTTGAATAAGCTTTTGGTAGACCGTCCTACTCGACACTTCTTTATCATAAAGTCGACGGACTGTTGTAAAGAAGATATAATCATCCATGAGATGAAACGAAAAACAAAAGAACCTTTAGGAATACTGAGAAAATCGATAGCTGGCAGAAGCCAAGACGCCATAACGGCCTGAGACAACAAATCACAACAACAACGGCCGTGCCCTTGGGATAAACCAGAGTGCACTCGAACTCTGTTTTGATAAATGTGAAGAAGATAGATCGAGGTTTACCGTGATATTTTTCTTTTTTCCACTTAAAACCGTACATACCTCAAATTTAAATGATAGTGATACCGTATGTGCCCTCAACCGTCCCAAATAAGTCATTGCGGCTCGACTTCGATTTGCAATTTGTCCCTCACATTTCAACCGAAGCCATTAGAACTGCTCTTGAAGCGAAGCTCTTTCTGTGCTTTATCAAGGGAGCTGTGTCCTAACGGCCATAAAATGTCAAATAAAAAATTTCGGTACTAAAACGTGCGACTAGCCTAGCTTAAAGTTTTAAAAATTGGACCGTGACGCCATGTTTGATAACGTCATGGTATAGACAAAACTTTCTATGGCCCGGACTGTCAAAGTTCCTGAACTCCACTCCTGCACATCAATGAGGTCACCTATTGTTCTTTCAAGGGGAGCAAATCTTGGCACTACTTTTTCCATTTTGTTTTTACAGAAAGCTGCTCGCTTGTTGACCTCCACTGTGAGGAACTATCGTTCGCGTCTCTGATTGGAAGAACGATATATTTTCACAGTCGTTCGCTTTACGATTGGTTGGTTGGGTATTTCATATGAATTTTACGCGGACTTTTCTTTTCATTTGTAAATCTCAGTATGTATGAATCATAAATAATTTCATCATAACCTGTGGCATAAGTTCTAAGGTTTTTTTTTTTTTTTTGTAAGAAATAGCATGCAACTTGAATATGAGAAATACAGGCCTAAATGCCTGTTTCAATATACTTTTATACCTTTTTCAATGTATCTCGTTTTCCATGCCAGATGAACGACATTACAGCTTACATCGACGCTTCACAAGTATATGGCTCAGACAAAGAAACAGCAGAAAGCCTGCGCGACCAGGAAGATCGCAGATTTCTGGATGTGACGCCAGTCGCAAAAGCTGCAGTGCGGCAGTGTGGGCTGCTTCCAGACGCTGAGAAAGATGCTTTTTGTAGATCTCCAAATCCAAAAGACAAACCGTGTTACCGTGCTGGCGACGAAAGAGTAAATGAAAACCAAGGTAATTCCGAGCTTTTTAAACGCTTGGCTTGGATCTCCATTTTATGCAGTATGCAGTTTTAAAACTTGTATTTCGAGTATCCAAATCCAGCTACCAGCTTTATTTTTTGACCGATCATACGTTACTTCCGCTTGAATCTGAAACTGCGTCGCTGGAAAGCCTTTAATAGCTAGTAATACCCTGCAAATCATTGTGTAAACATATGCAATTTTTTTTTTCATATCACAGTTTTAATCAACTAAATGCTTTCTGTCCTGCACCGCTTAGTGATGCGATAAAATTCAAAACTACCGCTGATTAAAGTTTCATGATTCAATATAATCTGGAATCCAAACCATGATTTCAAGCTCCACATCCCATGCTTTTCAAGGCCGATCCCTGTTATCCAAAAATCTATTCCCCCCCCCCCCCCCATCCTCAACTACAATTAAGTGTTAGAAGTTAAAACAATTGTATAGCAAATGCTACAAAATGTTATTCCCGTCTATCTCCAGCTTTAATGGCAATGCATACTTTGTGGGTTCGAGAGCACAATCGCATCGCCAAAAAACTAATCGAATTAAATCCAAAATGGGAAGTTGAAAAAGTATTCCAAGTGACAAGGAAAATCGTGGCAGCACAATTACAGCACATCACATACAATGAGTGGCTAAAAGTGTTATTCAGTGATTCCGTGGTGAGTTATGGCTACGTGGTTAAGTAGAAAGAAAGCTAGTATACTTTTGTTATTCAACTACCCTGTTCGGTTTTACCTCAGTTTTACGGGTATGTGTCCGAACTTTTGAGTCATCGGCCATAATTCTGAGCTCTCAATGACATTTTGCAGTTTGTATGTTAACTGTTTGATTAGACTTTGTAGTTATAGATCGTTTTCACTCGCGTGGTAGCCAGCTAAAAAAATTTTGTTGAAAAAAAAAAAAAAAAAACAACAAAACAATAACGAAGGGCTAACGCTCGAAACGTCAGCTTTTAAACTATTTGCGGTGGCCAATTAACTCAGTTGATGATACTTTATTACCCTGTTGCCTCCTCATACACAATCGTATCTCAACAAAAGGTTAATGAAACGCTCCCCCAATCGGCACATGTCATAGGTTCCTTTCAAAATACTCGTGGTATTCACGCAGTCTCAATTCATGGTTGTCGAGGGCTTCGGTAATTATTGTGGGTGTTTTCCTTTGGATTGTTTTCAGCCTAAGTCGCTTATTTTAACCATTGCATTTTTAATAAGATTTTGTATTTTTTTTGTTCTTGGTTTGTGGGCTTTGTGCTCTAGCTGGAAAGGGAAGGTCTGTTGTTGGAGCCACCTGGTAAATTCTTTATGGGATATAATGCATCGATTAATGCAGGAATATTAAACCACTTTGGAACAGCAGTTTTGAGAGTGGGTCACACCTTAATTCGATCAAGCTTTGGATTAATTACCAATTCAAGGGTCAGGCGCTCCAGTAAACTCATTTATCGCGGACGTACTGCAGTGGACTTTTTCAATCCAGCCCCCTTGCTACTGGGACTCAAAGTTAACCTCATTGGAGAAATCTTATATGGTCTCGTTAACGAGCTAGCCCAGCTCCCGGATAAGTATGTATCAAAGCAGTTTAAACAATAGGTTGAACTACACATGCCTTTTGATCGGTTCTTATGCATAGATGACGTCGAGTATATTCTATATTGTCGTGCATGTGTGCTGTAGTCAGTCCCAAAATACGTCAAAATGTTGATAGAATATAAGTCACAAACTCGGCTGCGCCTCTTGTGCCAATTTTTTGTTCCTGTCATACTTTGCTATAATCTGTAATTTACTGGTGAACAGGCACTCGGAAACATAGCATCTACTCATTAAAAATACGTTTTGCGAGATTGTTTGGCTGCAAGGATGATGAAGTGTTGACAGCCTGAGTGGTGCTGGTTCGGGCCAATCAAGGTAATTTGGGATTATCAACTGAGTTGATAACGAGAATTGACCTCCGTAAGGAGTTTATATGCTGACGTTTCAAGCATTAGCCCTTCATCCATTCGCTCTGACGAAGGGCTAATGCTCGAAACGTCAGATTTTTAACTCTTTACGGTGACTAATTTACGTCATCAACTCAGTTGATAATACCAAATATCCCTGTTATAATCTCACCGACGTAGCACTACAGTTTCTTCAGAAAATTATCTCCTTTAGCCAGATTCAAGATAGTTTAGAACGAAGTTTTGTTAAACCAAGGCCAATTTAAAAAATATATTTATACTTAACAAAGAGAACGCTTGGAAGTACTTGTTATCTAGTTTTTAACTAGGTTTCTCAAAGTCTCACCAATCCAAGATTCCTACGTTCAATAAAATAGTTAACTAATTATGATGAAATTTTCTTCCTCAGGAACTTTGTTGACGTCATAAGAGAACGTGTAATAATAGAAGGACCAACTATTGATGGTATTGTTGGCGATCTTCCGGCAATAAACATTCACCGCGGTAGGGATCACGGCTTACAAACGTTCGTAAAATTCCGCGAGATTTGTGGTGCAGGCCCAAGTAATAACTTTGGTCAACTTCGTAATACCATAAATCGCCCAGAGATCATGAAACTGAGACAAGCCTATGAAAATGCAAAAGACATCGATTTATTTGTAGGCGGCATCCTCGAGTTTCCCACTCTTGGAAGCGTGCTAGGTTTTACGTTCACCTGTCTTATGACCAAGCAGTTTAGACATCTGCGACATGGTGATCGATTCTGGTATGAAAGAAATGACCCTATTGCCGCATTCACTCTTCCTCAGCTTGAAGAGATACGAAAGACGTCATTGTCCCGAGTATATTGTGACAATACAGACAACGTGATCTTCATTCAGAAAAATGCCTTTAAACTCCGAACTGGTAACAACGGAGACAATCCTGTAATCGATTGTGACTTTATTCCCAGATTGAACTTGGAAGTTTTCGGAGAGGAGGAAGAGCCCATTGGTAGGCGTTTGTTAACTGTGATTAATATAACTCAAATACACTTTAGGTATAATTGAGTGGCACTTCTTAGCACGAGTCATTAAGCAGAAGTATTTTGTATAGTATGAACTGTCATTGAGTTTTACACTGTCTCTCCCCTCCAGGGGATGTAACTTGTTAGAGACAATGAGAACTGTTATAGAAGACATAGAATCCTGGAGAAATGCTGCACATGCATCTCAGTCTTATAGTCGTTTATGCGAGAAAAACTGGATAATTTCTGACATTTATTGCTTCAACAAATTGACATTTTCATGAGGCCCATAATGTTTCTTACTAATCTCTGTTAAATTGATCGAGAGCCACTGCTCTAAGAAAATGAGTTATACTATTCGTTCCATTTTTTTAGGTAATAGCTTCATGTTCATTTTATCGAATTTCATTTGTTGGACTGTCTTTTCTTGAGATACGATGCGAGCTTTGCGCTGTAAAGGCATTATCTATCAACTTTTGATTATGTATCCTGCTGACATTTTTGCATGGCTTGAGAGTATCAAACAATGATTGTTGCTTTCTCATCACTTTCCATAGATGAACTACCGGGTATGCCTATTGTGCAAGGTATGTGGCACCGCATTATTCTGTTCGCAAGATTTTGTTATAAATCACAAATTCCAAAACAAAATGTAGCTACAGACGAAGTTTTCTAAACGTCATCGCAAATGCTGACACTAAAATTTGCCTTTATAAACTAATAGCAGAGGTATGCTTATTATTACGAATATACTTGATCAGGAGAAAAAGAAAGGAATCTACAACGGATATCGATAAAGCGAACATAAACACTCACAAATAAAGTAACGCTGCACGATATAAGCGTGGATAAGTAAGCTAGCCCTTCTGCGGAAAATCAAAGGAAAAAAACGCAAATGGACACAAGTTTTGCTTGTGAAGCTTTACTTCTTCCTTCATGACAATTTTTACCTTTTCCACTACTTCTTGCGAAGGGTTTTCATGAAAACATAGTTTGTCTTTTCAAACTTTTTTTTTTTTTTTCTGGGAAGGTTACCAGTCAGCCGTCTCCCTACATACAATATAGGGCGTGCACAACTGGCAGTCAAAAAGTATAGTGATTCTCAAACCTGAATAATTATTCCTCCATGTGGGACTATTATAATGCAGTGGAAGTTCTTTATCTATATATATTTCCATCATCATCATCATCATGGTAAACAACTTCGTCATCACTGTTATTGTTATTGTTATTAATTTCCATTTCTTGTTATCTTATTTTCTCAAGATTGTCCTCAGGACTTTGTTCCATTTAGAGGTGGTTGTATCAGATTCTTCCTTACCCCTACCATAACATTCGAGGCTGCAAGATCATTTTGTATGAGCTTTAAGACTAAAGACAATAAACTGGGAGATCTTATCGAGATTCGATCACTTGAAGAGAATGCTGAAGTTGTTTATCTTGCCCCTGATAATGGTACGTACTATAAAAACACGGTATGACAAACTTCAATGATGATCAAGTTATCTTCTGAAAGGTCAATTCAAAACACACTCCAGTTATTGATGCAGTCAAATCTTCAAGACCCACAGAAAAATAGAAGGAAAAGGACGAGAAAATATTAGCGTTACTCATTATTTATTTATTTATGGTTTTTTTTAAATTTTGAAGTTTAAGGATGGTAACAGAAGTCTATTTTCCCGTAGGTTCTCTTTGTGATTGCTCGTTGCAATTAACATCATTCCCCTTGTTTGAACATGTTTCCAAAAACAGATAAATGAAAAAGAAGGATAAATAGAAAAAAAATTGAGGTAATTATTTCCAAAATAGCTTCAATGAGGACTCAAGGAAAACAAGCTTCCGACTAACAGACTATTTATACTCGTACATTCGCTCTGCGTATAACTAAATTTTATTATGAAATACCTTTAATGCAGTAGGTATATCTCGTGGCTCAGAGCAGGGGCCTTCCTCAAAACACTAATGAGGTGGTGTGAATCAAAATCTAACACGAGATATCTTTTCATCAATTCATCTTTTCTCTTCTCTAAGGGCAAAGATATTACATTGGTGTGACGGACTTAGAAGAGGAGGGTGTTTTTCGCCTGAATGGAGACACAAATCCAGCGCCATTTCTTAACTTTCCACCTGGCTTTCCTCAAGATTTGATAACTGAAGAACAAAGAGACTGTGTTGTCTTAGCAACGCATCCGGATACCACTTTTTCACTATGGTACACAGTGCCTTGCACAAACAGTTGGGCTTTTATATGTGAGTGTGAAGGTCCGTGCTTTCAGTCCACCGTGGCTGTTTAAATGAAAAACTATAGACTTTCGAATAAGTCACACCGTAGACGAGAATCAAGCTGTAATTTAATTAGACTGATATATGATCTTGAAGTTTTCAATCACGCCGTGACATTATACCAAGGATCCACAATACCACCGGCATAAGTAACATTGCGCGACTCCCTCAATCGCGCAATGTTACTTATGCCGGTGGTATTGTGGTATGATGTCACGGCGTGATTGAAAACTGATTAAAATCATGAATAAAAGCGTTTATTACACTTTTTTGTAAAGTGATATCAATTAATCATTTGAAGATATGGCAAATAATAATATGGTTACTATACATATACTCAGAATTACGTTCCCATGCTCGTATCACACTTTATCATTGGTTGAGATTTAGCTAGACGCATAACAAAAGAAAAAAATTGCGTGTCCGCGCGGTCTCTTTTTGGTTTGTAAAAAATTATTGTGACCACGTCCGAATTCGAGGATTATCTGGTGTGTAAACAAACAGAGAAATGTATGATCTGTGCATGTTTTTGAAAAAACCTCTTTCGACCTAACTCTTCTGGGGTTACTAAAGGAAACGAGTCTTGCCTTCAGTCTGGTGGTAACTTTAAAGGATAAGAAACGCACGGGGAAGGACTTGCTCATAATACTCGCTTCGTTTCGCTTCGTCTTGAGCGCCCCCAGTTGTTTTTTAACAAAGAAATGATTGGAGCAATATGGTTGATCTCAATAATTTCAGGCGGACCGAAGTCGATCTCGGGAGGTTGCCTCTATGTCCTCGGAAGGTTTTCTTTCTCAGTTATTGGCGCTTGAAGACAAAAAGTAGTGCAAAAAAGGAAAAAAAAATGAAATCGTGAGCTTTTTCGAGCTCTACATATTTTATATCTTGTAATGAATGCTCTCAGAAAGCAATTCTGGCCTTGGTCTCCTTTCTTTGGCAGCTTAAATGTGGGGCGTGGAAGAAACACACTTACAATTAAGAACAGTTTTAGAACTAAACAAATTTTTTTGCATTAGGATAACACTATTGGCTAGAGCACGGTGGCCCTCTTTTCAAGCTGATCATCATGATTTTGATAAGTCATTCTATAATAATGATTATAACAACAATATAATAAACAAAAAACAAAAACTATCAATAAACAAAACAAAGTGTTTTCGGCGCCAAACCTTACTATATCCACAAGGGTTACGGGGTAAAAAATTCGATAAAAAAGAGCCGCCAAACCGAAAAAAAAACAAAAACAAAAAAACGCGCTGGTCAAGGTTGGGCTCACCAGGGCTCAATCAGTGTCTCCCTACGGATTTTCAATTCTAGCAAACACCGTTGAGTAACAAATGATGGAGGGATCGTTGCAACTATAGCTAAGTCAGTTAATTCTTGTCTGAGAATCTTGCGTCTGTTCTCAGGTAAGGAGGTTCGACATAGAAATATTGGCAAAGGATCACCAGATCTTCTTCGTCCCTCACGTGCTGACTCTCTTTGCGTGGGAGAACATTGAAAAATTTGTCAAACGGCAATGACAACCATCTACTATCAATCGCACTCCAACGTTTCTGACACTATCGCACGCAGAACTCTAAATTACTGAATGTTGTAAATCGCGCTTTCTATGGCAGCAGGACATTTGATGGCGGTTTTACATGAAGAAGCCCGATAAGCATTAGGTTGGATTAAGTGCGTATCGTCTCACATGAATGTTTCTGCTTTGGATTTTTCTCTATTTGACTGTCTTGTCTTGAACGAATTGCCGCCTTCGATTGAAGTGTACTTTGAGGTGGATTGGGTTCTGTTTGAGCCGGATCGCATTCTTGGATCCCTTCCGCGTACAGTAGCACTGAGGGCGATACGGAATTTCTCGTTTAACATCATGTACAGCCATGGGTTTACCGCACTGTTTGCGTGACCCAACCAGAAGCAAAGGATCATTACGTAATACGGAAGTTTCCGATCGACGTCAGGACGATATGCAATAAGTAAATGATAAAAGTGAGCCGGGAACCAACAAAGAGCGAAAACAGCAGTGATTATGACGAGCATGCGCACAACTCTTCGCTTCGTAATCTCGTTACGTTTCTCAATTTCGGACGAAGCTTCACCCGGCATGCTTCGGTGCCAAAGCGTGAGGCAGATCCGAGAATAAAGGGTAATTATTATGATAAGTGGAATCAGGTACATAATTAGAACGAGGTAAGTGTAGAAACCCCTCGTCCCAAATTTGCCAAGCTCTTCATGTTTTGGACCGCAAAGCAAACCCTCAGTTTGAGGCCAATGACCAAGCCTCCAACTAATAGCAGCTGGAATGGAGAAAATCATTGCACTCAACCAAATAAACACAGTTAGGACTCTAGCCTTTCGAAACGTCTCAAAACGGTGAAGAGGACGGGCAACTGCAAAGTAACGATCCACTGACATAATCAACAGACTTAAAATGGATGCGCCGAGTGTGACATGAAACGTGAAAAACGTAAGCGAACACGTGACATTTCCAAACATTCCCGTTGCCCATACCCCACCACCGTGCAGGATATGCAGGGAGACAGGCATAGCAATCAGAGCCACCAGAAGGTCAGCGACGGCCATGTTGACAAACAGGAAACCAGTCAGCGATCTTGTTTCGTGTCTTCTTTTGATGATGAAGATCAGAAGAAGATTTCCGACCACTGCCACAAATATGGTCATCGAATACAGTACTGTGAAGATCGTCTTATGTAGAGAGCTGGGGCCAGGTGACTGCCCTGTGTAAAGCAAACAGAGGGGTATGTTCTGTATTGTTTTGTTTTGGTTTTTCTTGTTATTGTATGTTTGCAATATCTGCCTTTTTTTCCCTTTTTTATGTTTCGTTATCATCAAAAGAACTGTACGGCCACGCTAGCGAAAATCAGAGCGAAAGCTGACGTCGATGAGGCCCGACGAGTTGACGAGAGCCGGTCTGGAAAAGTCGTCAGGCGTTTCCTTGCGCTACAGGTCCGTATGTCCAGACCTCGAATCAAATATTTTCCCGTCCGGCCCTCCCACCCGTCGAGTGAAAAAGAAGTAACTGAAATTATTAGCATGTCCTTTTTTTTCGTCCATGCCCCGTGTGTTAACAATCACATCATTAACAACAATTTTCTTTTTGTCTGGACGGTTTAGCCTCTCAACCAGCCGCAACGAAAAAAAAAATCACTTGTTTTCTCCCGGCTCATATGGTAATCAATGTTTTGTATCTGATGATTTCTCTAGATTCATACATAAATGCACGAAAATTCGAACCTAATAGGATTTTAAAGGAGTCAAGACAGCAATCTCACGAAAAATAAGATTAGCATGGGATTTTTGGGAGTACTTTCTAATCAATCAGCGCTCCCGAAAACCAGAGTGAAAGCTGACGTCGATGGGGCCCGACTAGTTGACGAGAGCTGGTCTGGAAAAGCCTGTATCTTATGATCTTGAGTCAGATATTTTCCCGTTCGGCCCTCCCAATCCGTCGAATAAAAAAGTAATTTACATGTATTTTTTTTTGTGTCCGTGCCCTGTGTTAAAAATCATATCATTAACCTTTAGTTACACTCGAACAACATTTTTTTTTTTTCTGGACGGCTTAGTCTCTCAACCAGCCGCAACATGAAGAAATCGTTTATTTTCTCCTGATTCATATGGTAATCTGTGTTTTGTATCTGGTGATTATTTTTTTAGATTCCGACATAAAAGCACGAAAATTCGAACCAAATAGGATTTTAAAGGAGTCTAGACAACAACCTCACGAAAAATAAGATAGCCTGTGATTATTGGGAGTACTTTCTAATCAGTCCATTAGAAATGATTCTTTTAGCCTGTTATGCCTTCATTAATCGGTTTTAATCATATCTATTTCGGCTTTCTTTCAGTTGCCTTGCAAGAGGTGCCTATAGAGTAAGAGAGGCCATTGACGCACACGAGCATGGCATTAGTGGTCATTCAGTAATGATAATGACGAAAGCTCTTTTGGTAATCAGCGAATTATTGACTCGCTATCAAATGGCATTTATTGAATTTAAAACTCGTGAAAAAATGCTAAGGCTACGGAAGCACGACTGCATGTTGAAGCCCCCTAACCTCAGAAGAAAAAGGTCACACGCATACAAGATAAAAAGTGCCGGGAGAAAGTCAATAAAATGAACTCGTCAAAATTTGACGGATTCAAATTAAGAGTTTTTGATAAACTGATTATCGCATGACGCCATTTGATGGACAAGCACATGATGGCGTTGAGTGCGATTTACTTTGGCATAGATCCCATGATACTACAAAGTTATTTTCTCCGACAGGTTTTTAAGGTGCAAGTTAATTTGCTATCTAACTAACTTCGCGATAAACAGATTAAACAGGCGACAAAACAGATGCTACACGTTCTTTGAATTTTAATGCCTCGACTGTAAAGAAAAACAGTGCTGCAATGTCTTAACAAGGACGACGTGCCTTTCCTTTCAACATACACCGAGACTACTGCAGCTAAATGGTAGCATCCTGTTATTGCATACCGTGGCGACGTCAGTATGCAACGAGCTTCCTTCTCACGTCTTCCCAGTTTTACGTTGATAAATAGCACCATAATCGGTTCAATGTAAACGGTTCGTTTCGCTTTCTTCCCATTCAAAGCATTTCATGGAATGACAATCGTAAAATTACACGTTGTTCAGTTGAACATAAATCTCTAGTGACCCTCTCCTTTCAAGCACATATCATACAATAAATTGTTTATTTGGCGAAAAATATGTTTCATAATCTCGTCAAACGAGTTGAAGACAGACAAAATGCAACTCAAACGACCATTGGCCACAACGGCAAGACGTGAATATGAAAGCGATCTTCGCAGTTATGAACACTACTGAAGCAGTAGCGAAAAGAAGGCCTGAAAAAAATTCAGGCCTGTACGGGATAAACCCATGACCTCTGCGATACCGATGCAGTGCTCTACCAAGTGAGCTAACAAGCCAACTGGGAGCTGGTCGCTGTGTTGGTTCCAAATAAACCCGTGAAGTGGTGAATAAACGGCTGTGAATATATGAAATTCGTATCCCGTACAGGCCTGAATTTTTTTTCAAGCCTTCTTTACGTTACTGCTTAAGTAGTGTTCATAAATGCGAAGATCGCTTTCATATTCACGTCTTTATACGCAGTTCAAATATATGAATTTCATATATTCACAAACAACAGCCGTTTACAACGACAAGAGTTGAATTAAATGGAAGGAGTTGCCATATCAGCCTTGTAAACACAGTAAAAATGAGTAGACGATAGTTGAATAAGGAAAAAAAATGTTTACGTGACAGCCTAATTATTCTATGCTTTCTTTCAAAGCCCTTTATCAATCACGCAAAATGTTTGAGATTCGACTTACCGTCAGAGGAGTTCTCTGTATCTGTAGAGTTTATTGTAGTGTTCATCGTAATTTTCAAGAGTGTACTTCTTGATGTCAGCAACAAGAAAATATGCTTCCTTTCTCCCACACCTAGAACTGACAAAAAGTCGAATCTGCTGCTTAACACTTTCCGCATTTGGAACACGATAGCACATATTGCTGGTTTTCAGTGTCACGCCATTCAAAATAGATCAAAATAAAAAATAAAAACCGTTCAATCGATTTAGTCTAGAATCTGGAAATAGAAAGAAGCTAGATATGTAAAGACTCTCGCCAAGATTCAGGTCACGGCAATTTTTCTTACGGAAGATATGAGGAGAAACGTTTTTCCCAAATTTATAGAGATTTGTATGGAGCCGCCATGCTGGTGCCCACCTAGATGGGCACCAACATGGCGGCCGGAAACCAGCAGAAACATCTGTCACTGAGTTTTGCTACAAAAGCGTGAATTTATCTCTCTAAGAACTCATAAACGTAACAATAATACTTTATTCTAATACAAGAACTGTTCAGATAGCTGAATTTCCCTAAATAAGTCACCTTTTAAACCAACATAACAGCTCTCTCGCTCGTCATGTAAAAGGCCACGTCACGCAAAAGCTTAGAAATTCAAGAGTAGTCTATCACTAAACCAAGAACCCATTTGGAGTGAAAATTTGTCTGAATATTAGTTTTTAGCTGCTCTAATACATCATGAAAGTAAAATCTCAGGAGGATCAATAGTTCTGAAGTCTGAAATTTAGTGACGTCACGTGAAAACCAGCAATTGCTTAAATTGCTTACGTATTTGTAAAGTGAATCTAATTAGCGAGCCTTTCGATCAAATTAATATATCCAGAAGTTAGGGTGATAAGGATATATTACGACAGAGCGGAAATATAGGTTTTCACAAGAAAGATATTCACTGTGTATGATACCCGAAATATTAGCCACATACTGTGTATATGGAAGCCTACAGCTCAGTTCGTAAATGATGCTGTAAGCTGATAGAACGTACCAAAATTTCTAGGTATGCCTTGCGACGAGGGAATTGTCCGTAAAGTAGGCTCAATTATAAAATGTTAGGTATATTATGAGTAATAACACGGTTGCTTTCATATAGAGTGCAGAGCAAAACTCACCTTACGTCGACTGTTGAATAGTTGTCGTCTCTTTGGACGAAATGGTGAAATATTGGCACCCTATGGGGTCTTCCACGGTTTGTTTACCCAAATTACAACGTACCGTGTTGAGAAAAAGTCGAAAGAACGGACTTATTGCATTCTTCATCAAAGAAAACAGCCGTCTTTTTCCAAACCACCAGTGGTTTAAAACAGTTTTGACACGATATTTACTTTTAATAAACATAAACAGCTGTAACTCATTAATACGAGAATTCTGTTTGGGCATCAATAACAATGAGTGACACCGTAATTTGCAATATTGGACCATACTGAGAAACACGGCATCTGGAAACACTCCTGCTTCTTTGATGGAATGTGATGTTTAGCTGTTGTATCGTTTGTAATATAAGAAATATAATATGAGAAATTATATATATAATATAATATAAGAAAATTCGAGAACGTAGGAAGAAAATTCGAGAACATATAAAGAAAATTTCAAATTTCCTGACCGCCACTTGACTTTCAATAACAAAAGATGCTTCCTGCTGATTACCAGAATTATCATTCAACTATCGCGCTGTTACTATTTTTTGTTTCTAATCTTCCTTACTCTGTTAAATTTCTTTATTAGCTTTTATTGTATTTACAAGTCTTCAGCTTCCAATGAGTTTTAGTTAGAAAAGCCACTAGAATATATTTAAAAAATAATCAGTGATTCTTTTTGGTTGAGTGCACATTTCGCCTTAAATGTGGCCCATTAATCACCTTACTGAAATTATTCTTGAAGCTGATCAATTTTAAATATGAAAAAGGAACCAAAAGCATTTGGTGTGATAATGAGTTTAAGCCTTTCTTCCTGAAATTAACCATAACTATAAATATTTGCAGTGAAGTAAGGATAACATGCACCTCTTTTTTTTTTTCTTTTTCACTTTGAAGATAAAAACTTTCCAGAATGTAATGGATGGAAACTTCATCTAAAATACTTAATCTTACTCTGTTAGATATTGAGAGTTTTGCGAAGAAATGAAGAGAACTTTGCTCATACAGTTGCTGGTTATGTTAAATGAAGAAGTAAATAAGTAAGTAACTGGGATACCTGGATGGTACTGGATCCGTGGAATCAAGTGTAGTGATACTACGCGTGTCGGACTAGTATACTGAAATAGTGAGCTCAAGTCTGGCCAAGGGCATACACCTGTCTCAAAACATAGGCATGCTATGCATGCAAGAGTTATTTTTTCTAGGGTGGGTGGATTACTTGAAACATTGTAAGTGGTCTACATTCTTACAAAAGGAAAGAAGATTATTAACGCGGGAAAGAATGAAAATGTCGAATTACCTCACACACAGGTATTTTGTGGTAGATTATGTGTGTTGTGCGAATAAATGTAACCAAAAATAAACTGTATTTGTGCCACGGATACCTTTTAGTACAAAATGTAGACAGCAGACTGCAGACCGGATACAAAATATAGACTGCAGAGTGGGTAAAAAATGCAGACTGAGAATATGAAGAGTTTTTACGTCTGGTATATAATAACATGTCATCTTACAGCTTACCGAGCGTCACGCAATCGCTTTTCCGCGATCAGCCTTCACGATTATTTGCACTACTGTGGAAAATTCCTGGCCCATTTCTTGATGAAAATCGATCATAATATAATTTCAAGCCTTCAACATAGTCTTCTTACTTTGCGCGCGAGTTGGTTGGTGTGATGTCTGTACAGATTTTACCAATGTAATAAAAGTAGATGACGTGAATAACAGTGATAGTAAAGCAAGCTTAAAACGGCAACAATCGCCAGAAAATACAGCGGATATACAGGGTATGAGTAAGTTTTATTGATTTTACGAGAAAAATCTTCATATTTCGAAATATTTATCGTTGTAAATCGACCATATTTCGTTCCCTCTACTATTCCTTATAACTTGTTCAAATTTTCAACGGTTCCTAGCATAACTTACTCTGAGTCACACAACGCGTGACGCGTTTGGTTTCAGATTTCAGATTTTGCTTTTTACAACGAGTAAACGTTTTCAACTAAGACATTGGCATACTTAGCATACAAGACATACAAGGCATTCAATGCTTTCATGGCTTCAAGCGTTCACGATTCAGTCCGTTCCAAAATTACCGCTCAATAACATCTTTTTGTGTGGATTGGCCGCGAACAATACGACTTGTGTATGCGTCTATAAGTATTTTGAGCGTTTGCGCCATAATGCTCCAGATGATCGTAATCCAAACACATTAAATTACAAACCAACTGACAAAAGAGCTTTATGGGCAAAAATCTCGTGTTCGTCATGTGACCCGGCCCTGTCCGTGCATGACAACGTCAATCATCATCAAGATAGCACGCGTGATCAGCATGTGAACACCTCATTGGATCACAGTTAGTTGTCATGGTGTTGAGGGCCCAATGACCTCTGGGTACTATTGCGCAATTTTTCCATTTTGTGGCGGAGGAAAAAAAAAAAAAAGACGACAAAAAAACAAAGGTATTTTATGACTGGGCTACCACAGGTATCCCAGTAATGAAGAAGTAAATAAGTAAGTGAAATAGGTCGGAAAGGAAGCGAGCGTGGGTGGGTAAATTGCAAGTTGTACGTATCGAAGAAAGTGTGGTAGATACGTGACAGCAAATTTCCGAGTCTTATTAATTTATCAAGGCATCACATATTCTTGTTCCTAAAAGTATTTCAATAACTTTTGGATACGGCCACAAGAATGAGCAAAGGATAATGAAATAAAATAAATTAGCCAATGAGCTTTAAATGTTCCTATGGCTCCCGTTTCTTATTAGATCGTAAACAATCGAAGCGATGCATAGTTTGAGAATTTTGACAAGCCTCGAGTTTTTCTTTAAAATTTCCGGGGTGCCCTTCATACAATGGGTTGTAAACGGTATAGAACGATTAAATTTACGTCATCAAGGTTAAAATTGATTGGAAGAACTCAAGTAATTACAATCTTGAAGATTTTTCTAATTTTCATCTCGTATTGCTCCGAAAGCTCCCTAAAACAGTAAACGATGAACATCCAAAACGGCCGTTTGGAATCGATTTTAATTTAAAAATGCAAATTAAAGTTAATCAGCCCCAACGAAAATAAACAAAAAAACCAACAAAATAAGAAACAAATAAATAAGTAAAAGTAGTAAATGGTCTTATAATGTATGTTTCAACTCAACTTGCTCTTCTAGTGTACGAATTGAAACATTACTGCCGATCAAAGGAATGACGTCAACAATCTCAAAAACCACATTCAGGTGGTTCATTGAGATCCTTTCAACCCAAGTTATGGTGGGCTTTAAGGTAATAGTTTCCATAATAGCTGTTGTTTTTTAGTAAAAGTCTTATTAAAAAAAGAGAGAGAGAGAGAAAAAGACAAAAGAAAAGAAAAGAAAAACTTATACGGAGTAACAAGAATGACTATGTGTCACGCTAGTTTAAAGCTAACGTGACACATGCTGAACACAAAGGGGAAAACCAAATAAATTACGACTCTAGATAGCATCGAACTCTTATGATTGACAGCAGGACAAAATCCCAATGTTATCATCCATAATTTGATCGAGCACAAGATATCAATTCATAATGGCCTCTTAGAATCGGATGAACACTACATACTTTTCAACTGTTCAACCGCATTTGGTCTTAAATCGAAGACAAGTCTGTTTAAAAACAAGAACTGAAATTATAAGTTCGAATCGCAGTCTAAACCGCACCCATCCAGGGATAAAGATGTTTATTAATCTAGGTTCTCTTTGTGTGTGGCGCATAATTTGGCTCTAAAACACTAAGACTGTTTTCATATCTAACCAGTTCACCGCTGCATGACTTAAAAAAAGGGGAAAAAACAGCTTTGGCCGTTGAAACTCAACTCACCTAAAAATTCCGAAGATAAACTCGCCCTGCCGCCGAAACTTAAAGAGACCAACGAATAACCTCGTGGAATGACTGCTGTCCTCAGAATCTATAAATGTTTCTTGTCCTAATGTGTGTGGTAGTGTCTCCGTAAATAAAGAATAAGCGGATTTAAACCATTCCAGAGACGGAAGCTTTTAAAAGGAGTTCTACGCCGGATTAGCGACCCAACGATTAATGATCTAAAAGTGATGGCTGGTTCATATATGAAATGGAAAATAAAATTTGATATATTTACATCAGTCTTATTGAGTAAATAAAAGTAATAACTAAAAAATGCTAATTTTGAATTTTTTTCAATTCATCATACTGGATGCTGCAAGCGTATTAACAAGCTCACTACCATATACACTTAAAGGAATCATGCCCTAAAGTTTCTTCTTTCACCCCATACGCAAGTGATTCTCTGGAGTTAGAGGTAAACATTTGTAGGTTGTTTGCTTATGACCTGTTTTCTGAAACTGAATCCTTAATTCGCACGCTGCTATCTTAAAAAACTTTTTAAAAAATGACGTTGAATTTTTTTTTTTCATGGAAATTATTATGTGTATTATGATCGGTCAACCTGCTAAATAGTTGTCAAGGGCATTTTCCATTTTGTATTTACTTTTTTTATTATTTTATCACATTCTGTACCGTGTATTTTGACGGATGGTCGCGGGAAAATTCATCAAGTCAATTCTCTGTCAATTTTTCGAAAAAAAAAAAAAAGGAGATATTTAGCCGTTTGCAAATATTACAACCCCCAGAAAGACAGCCTGTTTCCCGTATTTACTACTCCGACCGCAAAATACCACCTGGTGACTTCGCCATGACGAAATTAAACCCGAACTTAAATATTGATGATCCAAATTCCCAAGTCCCTGTTCAAGCTTCCTAGTCTATAGACCCCATATCACCAGGATCTCCGCATCTTTTGGCATGAGCTTATCAATAACATCTATAATTACACCATTTCCACCTCGCTTGAGTTGCCTCAGTGGCTATGCAAATAAGTATAAATTTCAGTTCGCAAGTCCGTCGCAATAGGTCTTAGACGACGGATATAAACCGCTAAAGGAAACAATGAAAAACGCATCTTTCGATAAGTAGAAGCTTAAAAACTATACGCCTAGGAAACATAATCCCATGACGTGACATTTCCTTTGGATCGCAATAATCATAAAACAACACCGTAACGGTTTTCCTTTATTCGACAATTACGCAGTTGAAATATCTCACTGTGTAAAAGTGAAACTTAAGCAAACGAATATAAAGTTCGACTGTTCGCAAGCAAAGCAAAATGTAGCATTTTCAAGCG